CCAGCTGGTGTCAGAATAGGCATCATTGCCTTTCTTTATGCTAGCTTATGAGCTAGCCTGGCCCTTCAGTCTGCCAGATGCTCGACCAGAACTTACGGACTGGTATGTTGAGTGAAGGCTATTAAGCAGGACAAAAAGTGCTCTGGCTTAGGTAATGCAGTGTAGCCTCTGAAGACACAGAGGGCAAGACTGCTTGTCCAGTTCTCACCTGCTCCGGCCTCTCTGAGTCTCAGGTCTGCTGTCCAAAAAAATGGGAATAGCGAAGGTACTGACCCCACGAGGCTTAAATGTGTGTGTGTGTGTGTGTGTATATATATGTGTATAACATATATATAATATACATATATTGTACATATACATATACATATGTGCTTAGGTCAGTACTCGACTCATGGGACATGCTACATGCTCATTTACTTTATTGAAACCAGGCCATAAAAAGCAGAGGCGATGCAGATTACCAAAACCAATAGTTCTGAGATCTGTCATATGATTAGATTGTTCATAATGTTTCCCAAAATTGGGTCTGGAGATCACTGGAGTCTATGACATGATTTAGGTGGCATATGAACATTTTTATTGTTTTAAATTTAATATTTATGTAGGGAGCTAGCACAGTGATTCACATGTGTTTCACAAATGTTAACAGTATACCCAGTCCTTGAGACTGAAGATAAATATTAAGTAAATGATAGTACGGGTGGAATGCAGATATGGGCAAGGCTACAAAATCCAAGTCTTTGAGTCTGAGGCAGGGCTGGTTCTCAAACACCATCTTCTCTGCAATGAAGAGAGTTTCCTGTTTGTAACTGTGTCACCTTTTCCCACTGTCAGCATTGGCTGGAGAGACACGGCAACAGCCCCTGGCAGACAGTCCCATTCTGAATGTACCAGGCTGGACTCAGGTCTGACTACTGTCACTGCTCCAGGTCACGACTGTTAAGAAGTAGCTCCCAGGAGACTCCTTCTGGGCACAGAGAGATAGATTTGGGGGCAGTTCTAACCCCTCAGACCTGGTCCTTTGTTTACTGCCTTGTAGTTCCCCCTTCTTCTTAGCCTGGTGTCCAAGGACCATCCCACCCTGTCCCCTCCTTCCTCAGGACTCTCTACAGTGGCCAGCAGGATATCACTTGGTTCAAGCACTTCTTACAAATCAAGGAACCAAAAGTCTAAGGAGCTCCACCTCTTTCCCTCCGTAGCCCCCAGGCCCTGGGAATAGCCCTTCCTTTACAGCCCAAGGGTCCAGAGCTAAAGCTCTAATGCATCTCTTCAACCATGGTGAGAGTGGAGGCCACTTACCAAGTGCAGTGGGTTGGCCAGTCCTGCTGGGCACCTTGCAGACAGGCACTAGTTCTTTTATCCTCACAACAAACCCCAGAGGTAGGCGATGTTTTACAGCAGACATTCAGAGAGGGTAAGAAACGTGCCCCAGGTCACACAGCAATAGGAAGTGAGCTGGGATTTTCACTTAGGTCCAACTAACTTCCAAGCTCATGCTCTTCCCAGCAAAACAAGTCCTAAGCTGTCAACCAGAGGTGACAAAGAAAGCTCTGAGGAGGTACCCACAGGGTAGGTCTGCTCGTTGGAAGAGGTGGTATGAATACAAGGGGTGAGCGTCCCCATGCAAGGGGCCAGGTTTGGAAACAAGCACTTTCTTCTCCAACTTCCAGCTTCCTTCCTGCCCACCAGGCATCACATCCCACCATCCTGGCCTTGCGCACAGCACCTCTTTCCCAGTGGGAGATTAACGGGACGCCAAAGCACCCCACTGCTCTGCTGGCATAAATTGCGAGAAAAACATTTAGAATATTGATTAAGTGCTTCATGCTAGAAGATTTAAATTTACCTCCTGTATTTCCAGGATTAGCTGACATAATGGGGTCAGTCTGCTGGCACAAATGATTTACAGAACACCCATTGGCAGCTTTCCTTTTAAAACTCAACACTTAGAATTCTCACTCGGTCACAGCCAGTGGAGTCCTGAGTATTTAGCAGGTTTGGATAATCGCCCTCCTGCCACATCCAGACTTTTGGGGGTTGGCCCTGAGAAGAGTTTCGAAGTCATTTCCGGTCTGGTCTGGCCCCATCTGGGGACGAATGGGCCTTGCTTAAGTCTCCTGAGATGCTGTTCTTCCAGGATGCAAAGTCTTGTTTCAGGTAGAGGTTGTTTTCAATATTCAAATACAGTATGCTAATTTCCAATATTCAAATCTAATACGCAAATACTCTCTGCAGGAGTTAAACAGGTTACCAGCAGGTGTTAAAAACAGGCAAGTCCCGCCTGCCCTTTCCACACCTCCTACCAATCTGTAAAGGTTGTGCTACAGCTTGCGAGTGCCCAGCTCATTCCTATAAGCTCCAAACTGTGCTCTGAGAAGAGAAGGGACTGGAGGGCGGCTTTCCAGAAGGCCAGGGAGGTGTAGACTTACATCGAAGTCCAGTGGATGTCCTAGGTCTCCTGCTGCGAGAAAGATGCCCACCCCCGTGGCCCACAGAGAGCCATCAGTGTCCCAGCTGTGGGACCCCTAGAGCCAGCATGGCCCGACCACCAAAGTAGATGATGCGTTCATTGGGGGGGGATGGGGACAGCTGGCCTCTGCATTGCTGATTTTAGCAGTGAGCATTCTTGCAAAGGCTATCCATGGGGACCCTGCACACATCTTTCATGACTGAGAAAGCTGCCTTAAATGTCCCATTAGGATGGGGGCGGCACTTGACCTTGAGATCTACAACCGCTGGCCCTCCACGTCTCACCCACAGGTGTATTTTATTTGGCTCCCCAAACAAACAAACAAAACAACTGACTTTGAATTTGGGCTGCACGGTTCACCGGAGCTCCCACACACTGCCCATAACTCTCCTAAATCCACCCTGCTACGCTTGGCTCTGAGGGTGCGCCCTGATCTAGCAGATGATCACAGCTCTTTCGCGGAAAGGAGCAGAGGGAGTTAAACTTCCCAGGGGTCCTCTGCCCTAGTCCCACCCTGTATTGCCCAGTCTCTATAACCCTGTTTGACCATGGAAATCAGGGGCCCACAAATGCCACTTGGAGGGGTCTTCACCTTATGCCACCAGAGCTAAACATTGTACGGTGATGCCAAAGGGAGGATATTACACCTCCCAAAGATATTTACTTTAAATAAGTGACAAGTACAATCCATTTGGTTTGTGTATCCTGAGCTTTCTCCAGCTATCAGACCACTCAAGTGTGCAGAAGATGAAATAATTGGGAGACTTTTAAATATTTCTTTGTTTCTCATGTGGCCATTCTGTACAGAGTCGAAGGGATGTGCCAACAATAGCACCGTCTGTGTCGCGCTTGTTACTAATACGACTGCCAATTAATCCCAACATGGGAGCTTGGCGAGTTACCCAAAACCTCGTATTTTAGCACCTCAGGGAGCCAGCACTTGGTCATTTCCGTGACATTTTACATTAATCAATCAACTTTCCATTTTTATAGCTGAGCCTTTCCCAGGAACTGCAGACAAGGCCTACAGGCACCACACCCAAGGCCACCGTTTCCCCCAACGGAACTGGGTTTGGTGTGTTGATAATTACACTTCGAAGCTGACTTTTGAAAATGTATATTCTACTTCTTCCCTTCCAAGGGGGAAATCCATTTCAAATGTTAAGACAGAAACTCAAGTCCCTGAGAGTTTTCTCATGTAATATTTTACAATATACAATAATAAGAGGGTGCCTCCCGAAGGAAGTGAACTTTAGAGCTGCCAGAGGTAGCTGACGTTCTCCAAATCTGTTACCAGTGGGTCCCGAGCTGCTTAAAGTCGGTTCTATTCTTGGTAATGACACATGTGGCCAGAACGAACGCCATTCTAAGATATTTCTGGGACCCCCTGGCAAATGGTGATTTATCTGGAGACAGCGAGGCAGGCAAAGGAAGGACAGAAGGGGAGAACGTGTCTCCTGGGGACACTACGTCAAAGCAGGTGTCCTGACTCAGTGCCAGGGACCACGTTCTCGTGGCTGAGGCCTGTCTTTCATCACTTGCTCATCCCCAGATCGATCCTCTGGCCTCCAGCGATTCTTTCAACCATTCTTAATCTAACTCAACCTAAAGAGATCAGCGAGCTGCAAAAAGTTTTACAGGCAAACTCTCAGTCCTTCCCCTGTTCCCCGTGTCCCGGGACTGTGGCGGGAAGAAACCCAGCCCAGCTGCGAGCTCTGTGTTGTCCCATCCTGTGCATCACCACCGTCAGGAAGAACTGGCCATAAGGCCCCCTCAAACCAGCTTCCCCCTCCTCCTCCTTCCTCCCCCCTCCAGCTTTACTGAGTGATAAGTGACAAGTAAAATCTGTATATATGTAAGGCACACAATGTGATGCTTTGCTATAACTATACATTATGAAAGGGTTACCACGATCAAGCTCATTAACACACAGTGACCATCTTTGGGGGGGGGGGTATAGAACACAGTATTGTCACCATGCTGTACATCAGACCCCCCGGACCCATCCATCCTGCATAACTGAAAAGCCTTTGCCCAATGCCCCCCCACTTCCCTCTCCCCCACCCCTTGTAACCACCGCTCTACCCTCTGCCTCTCACAGCTCTCCTTGTTTCGAGTCCACACGAACCTGGAGGACATCATGCTAAGTGAAATAAGCCAGACACGGCAAGACAGGTGCTGCCTGACCCCCTCTCCTATGTTATACTTCTTTCTCTCTGCCCATTCCTAATTCAAAGAAAGGGCCCAGGCTGTCCAAGGTCATGGAACAAGGCAAACATACCGCAGGTGGGGACACCATGGGCAGACAGGCATGCGGGAGCTCTGACCAAGGCCACGGCCCTAGTGAATGGCGTCAGCTCCAAGCCCACCTTTCTCTCCACTCCGCGCCATGTCCCAATCCCCGCTTATCATGGTTAAGATGGACTTTTAAGACTCAAACCTGTGCAGCATTCTCCATCTGTGGCTAAAGAAAACGAGTCTGTGTCCCGCTGGAAGTGAGCTCCAACAGGGGGCTCAGCCCCGCTCTTACCTGCAAATTTGCGCAGGGTGGTAAAACATGCGTGGGGATCTCATTCTCGGACCCCGCTGGCCCCAGAGGTTGGGTCTTCACCCGGAAGGCTGTGGTGGTGGTGGCAGTGGTGGTCTGAACCGGGAGGGCCGGCTGCCACACAGTGACATCGGAGCCGTTGCCGAACGCCTGAATTGCGTTTTCTGCAGTAAAACAGGAGGAAATCCAATTTCAAAGTCAAGCAGCAAGTGTACCAGACAAGCTACATACACCCTGGACATTCCGAATAGCCCTGGACTTCCCTGAACAGAGCCCATCCAACTGTCTACCCTACATGTGTGGAGAGCCAGCCACTGGGTCCGATGTTCAAAAATCAATCCATTCACTAAACACTGAGAAGGACACTCGGATGCTCCAACTGCAACCCCTGTTTACTGTGCTCCCATTGACGCGCCAGGTCCCTGCCTTGAAAGGCTCCTCAGTTGGGCCCTTTGAAATCCAGCCTCGGATCTGTTATTTGGGATCACAACCACGGTCCCATCTTCCAAGAAAACCTTTGTGCTCTGTCAAAATTCTATGCTAAAAGCAGACTCATTAGTGTGTTTGTTTTTTTAAGTATAACATCCTTAATTATGAGGCTGAGAAAGCTCGGTGGCGCTGACATTCATTTGTCAGGCAGTGAAATCAAAGAGCAAAAAATGTGATTCCCTGGCACAGACCACGTACTATGAGGCCAGCGTTGCTCACAGTACAAATGCAACCAGTTTCTTTAACAGAAAAACCTACCCCAAACCTCGGCAACAGTCCAGTGAAAATTTAAGTAAGATTATTTTTTTTCCCTTTCTGCTCCCAGTCTTCTAAACAAAATCTGAATAATTAGGTAGGAGCAGCCCTGCTTAAATGAAAAGTTTAAAATGTAAAACTTGAAAAGCTTATTACAAGTTCATGGGATTAGATTGTTTTTATGGCAAGAGTAAATTGCTTATGTAGCTCCCCTCCCCCCAAATGAATAAAAAACAGTTTAATCAGGTCGTCGGGGATTTGGCCTGGATTTAGGAATTTTTTTTTATTTCATATTCATTGTATAAGAAATCAAACTCCCCCACTTGGGACCTGAATGTGTAAATTGTTAATATATGACTCTTAGCTGGCATTTTTCGATATACAAGACAAAATAATTTAAGCCTAATGTTCCTCTTAGAAGTGACATTTTGTTCTAAAATTGTTACCCTTTAAGTTCAGGAAATGGGAAACCTGTTTTCTACAACTTTACATTTTTAAGCCTGTAAGAAACAGCTTCAAATGAATATAAATGCCTTTTATGCTTCTAGCCATGTTACATGGCCCAACGGGTGGGTGAATGCAGAGAAAGGTACATGGGGGACTGGTTTCCTTGAATGACCCAGGGCAACACCATCAAAAGAAAAATAAAACCTTCCTTTCTCTGAAGACATGCAGGTTCCAGAGGCCCTTTGCCCGTCGTGGAAACTACCTGTGTTTTTCAGTGGGTTTGCACTGGCACTCGGGGAGGTCGCTTGTGTACTTGCATTCAAATGTCAATGTCAAGGGACCATCTACTAAGTGGCACTGGGGATGCAGCAATGAATGATGACAGCAGTGAAAGACAAAAGACCCTGCCCTCGTCGAGGTCACATTCCGGTTGGGAGAAAACAAGTCAACCATACAATACATTTGGCAGTGAGAAATGCCTGGAGAAACAGGAGGCAGGCGGGGGACAGGGTGTGCTGGGCGGGAATGGGGAGCTGCAGTTTAGATGAAGTGGCCCAGGGAAGGGAAAGTGGCATCTAAGGAAAGACTCCAGTGACAGTCAGTCACCTCCGCCTTCAGCCCATTCTTCCATCTCGCCTTCCCCTGACATCTGTCACGCACTTTGATGTAAAAATAACTGTTTTTCCCCCCCATAACCAGAAGTGAACAGTAGGCTAGAGCGGTGTTCGCGATAGGGGAATCTGGGAAAGAGTTGGTTAATCTGAAGAGAGCAGAACTGGATTATTACGTTTGGGTTGCAGTGTACAAATTCCAGCTCCTTCTACCCTAGGGCCTTTGCCAGAGTCTGAATTTGCAGCACTGTGTCTCTGGTATGCTGTGCCCCTTCTAAACAAAGTTTAAATGGAATGACTGTAAAAAATTCAGGCTGGCTCTGGTCCCTGCTGAAGACCAAATGCATTTACTTTTATTGAAAAGTCATTAGCAATAAGATACCAGACTATTCTCCCCTTCACCAAAATATTATTAAGCAGGGACAACTTGAGTTTCTCTGTGAGGGGCCCGTTTTCCAGCCAGCAAGAGTATCTTTTCTCACGCTGACCTCTACTGTCATTGCTTTATCTTCATTAAATCTTGTATTCTGCCAGAAGAGCATGCAGGATGCGGAAAAGGGAATGGGTAATATAGAATAGTTCTTTTCCAAAGTCAAGCCCAAACAAGAGGTCCACAGTATGCCCAATGTCTGGGCAAATGACTCCATACTTGAGGCTAGTTTTGTGGGTTTGAATTTCATTTAAGTTCCCCAAAGCTTGTTTTCGTTTTAATGATACGGTTACAGCCATGTGACTAAAGTACCTAGCCAGCAAGTCATTTGGATTTGCCTTTTCTAAGAAACAATGAGGAGATTGTAGAAATAACACTGAAAAGCTTTTCCATTGTGCACATGGTACATTGTTAACTAATTCTTCAGAAATCAGCCACCATCCAGCAATGCCTCGTGGACAAATTGTCCCTTGAGGACAGGCTCTCAGAGGGGTGGCTGGGCCTTGATTCCTAGGAACTTGGTTGACACCTGCCACCAGGAAGTCATACCTGCTCCCTGGTGTTCAGGTATAGGTTCTCGTCCAACGGGCCCTTCAATAGCAGGCATGACACAAAATCCTCAGGGGACAGGGGCCTGCGGAAGAAGGAACTCAGGCTTTGGATGCCGTCTTTAGAGTGGATGGTCTATGTGAAGACCAGCCATTTATTCAACTGTAAAGTGGAGATAATAATACCTCTTGTGCAGATTACAGCAAATGAGATAATGTATATATTAGACTCCCTAGAGAGAGAGCTGAAGGCACCCAGTGGCTGCCACAAAATGTGAGTGAGGGGCTCAATGGTCTCAGTGGAGTCGCCACCTGGAGCACAGGTATCTCGGTGGATAGAAGGGAGGCCTAGCACAGGGCTTTGGAAGGTCATCTGATGAACGCTGTTCACACCCGTACATTTCTCTCCATCTCTCTCCCTTGGGGAAACCATTTCCTAGCAGGAGCACCCCCCACCCCGCCTCCCGAGATAACCAGCCATCCTGAGGCTCCTGGCTGCGCAGCCAGCTTCTCCCACTCCAGAACTGCTGCTTCTCCTCTGAGCCAACCTGGAACATCATGGGGGCCACTGATGTTAATATTCCAGTTTTCCTCGGAGAGCCCTTGGAGGGCTACCCCCGTCTAATTTGTCTGAGCGTCTCACACCGTGTGTCACGCTCAGGTTTGAAGAACACTTGGAACAGACTTTGTGCTGGTGGCCAAGATCAAAATTTGATCTGTGGGCAGAAGTGTTCCTTCCCACATAATGGACCCTCAGATATTAGGATCTCTCAAGATTTTGGAGTCTCAGTCTTGGCAGCAGCCTGTCGATCACTTGCCGTGTTCCCTGCTGCACTGGGCAGTGCGGCCAAGGGGAGCTGGATGCTCCATCAGTGAGAGAGAGAGACGGAGACACAGAGGGAAGAGGTGGACACAAGAGACAAGAAACATAAGGAACACAGAGTTAAGGCTTGAGCTCAGAGAGAAAAATGTGTTTCCTTTTTTTTTAACTTACTAAGACACGTGTTGTCCTTGAAGAAGTTCAGAAACTTGTCACACTCCTCCAGGTCATTGCCACTGTTGCTGCAGTCGCACCAGGGGGCCACGCTGAGGCTGCTGGAGTCGATGTAGTTGGGGGTCATGACTGTACCTGAAAGAGTAGAGACCAGGTGTCTTAATCGTGCGTGACAATGAGGACTCGTCTACAGCCTGGAAAGAAACGAATGCTCCTCTGAGGGAGGGCAGATGTGCTGTGATAATTACAAACGTGCCTGCAGAGTGGGAAATTATGTTAAGCAGTGCATTTGCTTGGCCATTTATCTTGAGCACATAAAATAATTTACACATTTACTTAAAAAATTATAACAGAGCTCCTTGAGCTGCACTTAGGGTATTTCTTTCTGCGCAAATGGTATGGATGTCTTGGAGTAGGAGAGAATTAACTCTGAATGCATGAGTTGCCAAATCCCTTGCATTTTCTCGAAAATGTCATTAATCTTCATAAATAGATAGAACTGGTTTTACATATCTTAAAAATCCTTTTAGGACTTTGAATCTACTTCCCTCAGAAGCAAATGGCTTCTTCAGAGAAACAAGGGAGGCTTCGAAACTATCTTTATGGATTAGCCCGCATCCTGAATGTTGTAGTATATGATGAGGCCTCCGATCACCAGACGCCAACCGCTTTAAATAAAGTCTTCCAAGCTGTGAAGGAATGGGAAGCCAACAGTGGAAATTCTCTAAGCTGATGGCTCCTAGAGCATTGTCTCGATAGTCCTCAAAAGTCCTAAAAGAAATGCTGGGTGGTCCCTCTTGCCCACATCTTCCTGTGTTCATGGTTTTTCTGGGGAGTTCTGTACTGGCACAAATCAACAATGCATTTCTACTTAATGCAACCCGAATGTCTCCTCCTGGGTGGCGCACACCAGGCAGGGCCTACTCATGCCAAGAAGCCTTTTGCTTTTATGTGTTTTGTGGAAGTAAGAAGTAATTAGTGGTCAGTGATCCAAGGGATATATTTGGTTCACAAGCAGAAAACAATTTTCTTTGTAAGCTCTTCTGGGTCAAGGGCACATCTTCTTTGTCTTACATCTTTTACTGACTTGAACTAAATTATGTGCCATTGCATCCTGAGATGAGAGCTTCGACCCACAGCGGAGAGGGAGCTCCTAACTTTGGGTGAGAAAGGAACGGAGCAAAGATGTTAAAAAGTATCTACTAAGCATGCCCGGCAGCATAGTGGATCCCTGACATATGGAAGAAGTTGGAACAAGCTTTGTTCTCAAAGAAGTTAGAACTCAATGAATGACCAGTGGGGAAGGAGAGGTGGGGACCCCGCAGGGAAATAGGCTGTGGTCTGTCGAATGCATTGCCTCAGTCAGTTCTTCCCCTAAACGATGAGGATTTCATCAGCCTCAGGCACGTCACAGTTTGCCTCGGCCACTCAGGGCGGATTTAATGAGCCTGTGTGCCTGGCGGGATGGGGGACTAGCGTGTTAATAGCAATTACATCTGGGTGTGGACCTGTAGCTCCTGAATACCGTCTCCTCTGAGCTGCTCTGTATTTTTTTTTTTTAACTTTTTACAATGAGCCTGCCTTAATTACTTCTGTTGTTTCGTAAACCTGTAATTCCATAGTTGATAAGTAATCCCTCCTAGGGCCTAACTTGCTGAAGGAAAGGAGAGAGCGGATGCCGATTTGGAATACCGACATAGGGAAGGTACACTCCGTGGACACAGGCATGACAGTGGTCAGCAGCTGGTGGCAGGGGTTAGTTACCCTACCGAGCACAGGTAGCCTTGCGAAAAGGGGGGGGACGCCTGCGCAGACACCCGTAGCACCCCTGCAGTAAGGCCCGTCGTTGATTTCCCCACGGCTCTTGCTGAGGACGCTGTGGTGACAGGGAATTCAGTCTGTGCTGTCATGTTCGGTGAGACATTCTTCCTGCCCGGTGAAGCGTGTGATCCTGGCAGGAACACACACCCTGGCTGAGCCATCTCGATTCTGACAACCTCGATCCCCTCACCCCCCGCAGCCTTCACTGTGTGTTCCTTCCCAAATGTCGGTCCTGATGGAGCCCTGTCACCGAGGCTCCCATAGTCCCTGGTGCCTGGAGCACCCGCCGGTGCCCCTGCGTGCCACGCTGACCCACGGGCACGGATCTGCCTCAGTTCTGGCTCTCTTCCAACCCACCAGAGCCTGCTTTAATTGCACTGTTCTCCTGAGTGCTGAGAACCTGGTCCTGCTAACATCTCAGGTCTTGAAAGACAGAAAGTACTGTTTCTGTTACGTCTGCTCTCAGGAAAAAACACTGAGGCTAAATCACCCCCTGCACACCAGGAGCCGAATTACCAAGAATACCAATAGCGAGGAGGTTCCCCAGGAGTTAGGGGTTTTCTTTCCAAAGGGCCCTTTCTGGGAAACAGCATTTTTGATTTCCCCAGAATGAATGACTTCCAAGGTGCCTTTCTGCAAAGTCCCATAAGGCAGTTAACTTGCTTTGAGCCCCTCTCCTCTCTTCCCTAACCGGGCTTTTCTCGTACTTTGGTTCCATGGTGGGTTCCCAACTGTGATGCATCCTGGGCCGTGACACTACTATCTTGCTGCTCTGTAATAATCCCCGCTCCCTGCCTTTGCACCTCCATTAGCCTCCTTTTTGAGTTTCTGTTTTTGTTTTTTTTCACCAAGGAGTCCTAGAGGCCTGACATCAAAGCCCCAGCACAGCGGGTCACTGGGAGATTGTCACTGTCACAGGTAGTGGCAGGCTACAGCCAGAAGAGTCTGTGAGTCTCTGTAAACCAGACTCCCCCCCAATCTCACCAATGAGCCCCGAGTAGGCGAGGAGGCAGTCTGCGTAGTTTTCCTTCAGACAGCTGCTGACAGACCTGGACTCCGGCTGGCAGTTGGTAAAAAAATCAGCAAGGCGAGACCTGCAATAGGAGAAAGGGGGGAGGGGGCTTTAAAAGATCCTGAGCCTCTAGGCAGACATAACTTCTCTTTATTCCTTTGTTGATATGCCTTTCCCACCCCCTCCAAAATACAGAAAACGCAAAGTCTCAAAATGTTAGCATCCTTGCTCACACAACACCCCAGCCCTCGCCCACCTGTGCGTGTGCCTATCTGCAGAGACGTCTCCGGGGCCTGCAACTGGAGAAATCAAGATGCTTTGAAGTTCCCATTCAATATTTATTTCTGACTCGACTTATTTGCATCTTTAGGAAATATGCTCTCTACACACTCACCGGCAAGCCACACTGGGAAAATATTTACTTTATACAGAAACATGTCCCTGGCATCAAAATAGGCTCCTGCAGCCCATCTGCTCCCGTAATTCCTACTGGCTTTAAAACTCCAAGTATCTGTCTGGTAAGACATCTCTCATCCACCAGCCCAGGGGCAGTGATTATTGCAGCCACGTGACAATGGGGAGAGAGCTTGCCTTTCTGGAACTGAAGGGAAAGGCAAGAGGAACTTGGGGATGCTCCCTTTCGCCATGGTTTCACTGGCTCTCACTGGGTGTGGTGAGCCTGCTGTTGGAGGTGGTGCCTGGAGGGTCCACTGATCAAAATGCAGCATCTGTCTGTAGCCTGGGGACTCCCCAGAGGCCAGTGCCATCCTCCCGGAAGCCCTGGGTGCTGGTGAGGTCGCAGAGCCCCAGAAGTGGAGAGGGGCTGCAGACACTCTGGTCTGGGGAGTGGGGATGGGAAGAGGCCTCTTTGTGACCAACTGGCTGTTTTTCAATCTGAAGAGAATATTGTTGGAGAAATCCTGAATGAGAGCTGGGCCCCCTCTGAGGTCATCTCAGCAGACAACAGCCCTGTATCTATGTGAAGAACACAATGGGCTGCCAGAGCATTTAAATTCTCCGGCAATTACAGCAGACAATGAACGGTTGTCTCGGCTTTCTTAAACTCTTTCGCTCCCCAGAGTTGGCAGCCAACAAACCCAGTGCTGTTTTTACTTCTTTCCATCCAAGAAACTGTAGTTACTTAGCATATTTTATGGTATAAACAGGCAGCCAGAGCAAGGTGGGATGTGTGATGATCACAAGGGTTTGTAAAAGCCTGTGGGATGCACATCTGTGTCCCTTCACCATGACTTTAAGTAGCCGGGGATTAAAAGGTCTGAGGATATCATTCAAGTTCACAGCACACAGCAAAGGCTGCTCAGTGCTCGTGTGAGCCTGGTCTCTCCTTGAGCCCTTGTCAACAAGGCGTGTCTGCCCCTCCCTATCTGTGCCCATCTGTGCTCTTGGTACCTCATGTGCCTGGTTCCATCACTGTGAATCCCCGGGGCAGGTGCTGGAGCTCAGCTTTATTTTCTCTGCACAGCACCTGACACTCCGCAGAGGAGCTCTTTTTATGGCTTCCCAGGCAGGGCCATGTGCTGGAGCTAAGTGACCCGACAAAACCCTCTGCGTGAGACTTGGGCATGCACATGTGTGTGTGTGCCCCGATCTCTCTCGCAGTCTGAGCCTCGCTGGTGTTTTCTGCCTCTAATTGAACACACTGGAGCGCATAAAACCTGGACGTTTTCTGTAGGCTGGTTAAAGGATTTATTTTTCGGAGGAAATCCCTGAAGGTGGCTCAGAATTACTCAACTGGCTCCGACGGCCTCCAGCTTGGATTGAGTGTTAATTTCAGAAGTATTTTCCCGGTCATGAAAGTTAATGATCTAGCGGTACTGGGCTTCTAACTTTGCAAAAGCCAACTGCGGTTCAGGCAGCTCCAGCTCTGCACACAACCTGATCAGCTCTCTGACCTGGCAGCTCTGCACTCCCCGCCCGCCCCCCCAGAGACAGA